ATTCATGTCTAGGCCCTCAAGAAGTTTGTTTTGTAGTTGAGAATTTAAAATATGAAAAAGGTATCCAAAATATTTATAATTTTTTTTTAAATTAAGGCATACTTCTTTTTTTTTATTTGATTTTTTTTTTTTTTTTACTTAAAAAATTTATTTTTGTAAAAATGGGGTCTCACTGTGTTGACCAGGCGGGTCTCCAACTCTAGCCTCAAATGATCCTCCCACCTTGGGCTCCCAAAGTGCTAGGATTACAGGTGTGAGCCACCAAGCCCATCCCACTCCTTTTTTTAAGTTAATTGATTCCCTTGACTTGTAATGGAAGCCCAGAGCTATTAACCAAAGAGTCTGCTTTCAAATAAATAATCTTTGCATGAGGACTCATATGCAAATTTATGAGCTATTACAACCATGTCCAACCAGAGTTTCTACTGTAGGATATTTCTGACAACCGGTAAACTGAGTATTTGAATGTAGATTAGGAATCTGTGCTGTGGTATCCATTCAAGGAAATATGTTCTCATCAGTTAATTGAAAAAAATTATCCTTAAATAAAATATGTTCATAGGAGAAGCATGTAGATTTATCTAGATAAAGCATTGCAGTTGGGGCAGAGCACATTAGTTCATGCCTATAATCCCAGCACTTTCGGAGGCTGACGCAGGAGGATCACTTGAGTCCAGGAGTTTGGTACCAGCCTGCGCAACGTAGGGAGACACCGCTTCTACAAAAATAAAACTTTAGCCATTGTGGTGGTACTCATCTGTAGTCCCAGCTACTTGGGAAGCTAGGTGGGAGGATTGCTTGAGCCTGGTAGGTTGAGGCTGCAGTGACTCATGATTGCCCCTCTGTACTCCAGCCTGGGTGTCAGGGAGACACTGTCTCAAGAAAAAGAAACACAAACTTTCAAATCCTACTTGGTAGTTCTTAATGAACATAAAAACTGGTTTCTTGCTCACCAAAATTCTTTACTATGTGTCATATTAAAACAACTAGCTAATTATCACACATCCTTAAGTTAGGCACAAGACCAAAGAATTTTTTCAATTGATTTTTTATTTTTAAACGTTTTTTTTTTTTTTGGCCAAGTGTGGTGGTTCACGAAGCCTGTAATCCCAGCACTTTGGGAGGCCCAGGTGGGAGGATCATGAGGTCAGGAGATTGAGACCATCCTGGCTAACACGGTGAAACCCTGTCTCTACTAAAAATACAAACATTAGCTGGG